TGAGGATGTACCTGACTGTGTAGAGGCCTATGGTGGTGTAGAGGGGGGTGCAGTCATAGCAGCAGTTGAACCAGTCGACGAGGAGCCAGAGGAGGCAAGTAGACGCTTGAGGCGTACAATGTCCTGGTCAGTGAGTGACTGAGTCGAGGAAGATGCAGGGGTGCCACTGGAAGAGGAGCGTCTCTGGTCTCGCTTCTTCTGGCGATAATCAGACTCTAGGTGACCTGACCGGGAGCAGTAACCACAAAAAGTGTCATGGCGCGACGTACTCTTCTCAGCATAAAGAGGGCGGCTCACCCCCCTGAAGGAGTGGGCAGGAGTGGTGGAGCAGTGAGGCGAGCAGATGACACAGGAGCCCGGGTAGCCAACACTGAAGGAACCACAAGTAACCCAGCAGAGCGAAGACGGGTCTCCTCAGCACGAAGCTCAGCAAGCACCTCCGAGATAGGAACACGACCACAAGCAAGAAAGTCAGCCTGGCGGGGCTCAAACTCGGAGCGGAGACGAGATAAGAACTCATGAACCCTCTGAAACTCCAAGTCAGACCACGTAGTCTGACAGCAACGGCAAGTGCCACAAACAACAGTCCTCAGTGAGTCAAGCTGACGCCAGATGGCAAAGCACTATGAATAGAACTCATCAACAGATGAGTCACCCTGCTGGAGAGCATGCTTCTGACGCACCACAGAAAGGTATAGAGCATCGCCAGAGGGCTGATAACGCTGACAAAGGTAGGACCACATCGCTGCAACAGTGCCGAGGCCCATGAACTCCGAAGCAAACTGAGGGAGGACACTCGCAGTGAGGACAGCAGCAGCTCAAGCATCATCATTGCATCACTGAGTGTAAGCAGACAGATCATCCCGGTAGACAGAAAGAGCATCAGAGTATGCGGATACCTACTGATCATAGGCATCAACTGCAGCATCATCAAGAGCCTTGGCTACATCCCGATCAGCCTGAGAAGCATCAGCAGCAAGCACCGACGACACCGGCGGAACAGGAGCCACCGGAGCAACAGGGCAGGACGGAAAGGGTACCTCGCCAGAGAGAACGCCCCACAGAAGAAGACCACGCAGGTGAATACGCATGAACCCCACAAACTCAGCATAGTGGGTGCCATCGAAGATCACCGAGCACCGAGAAACCGCGACATAGCCCGAAGAGGACATGAGGAAGGCACTCTGATGTTGCTGCCTTTTTTGGTCAACTGCTGCTGTAGGCCCGATCTGGATCAGGCAGCACCGCTCGCAAGGCCAGAGACCGAGCGGGGGATCGAGCGAGCAGAGGAGGCCCGATCTGGAGCTGGGACTAGCGGAGCCCGAGGGACCGAGCGGGCAGCGAGGAAAAGAAGGCCCGATCTGGATCGGGAGAAGCGGCACGGGTGCACTCGCGAACGGATGAACCGAGGCAGATTCGAGGGAGGAGCAGGCGACCGATCCAGAGTGGATCGAGAGGTAGCCACCACCGCGCACGGGCGAGGCGGGCCGAGAGGATTGGGCCGCACGGGCAAGGCCGACCGCGGCAGCGGCTAAGCGGGCGAATCGGCGGTCGGACGGAGCAGGCCGTGCGGTGCAGCGGCCGGCTGAGCAATTCAGGCGGGGCTGCTTCGGCAGCTTCCAGGCGGAGCAGCGCCCGGGCGAGAGGGAGCCGGACGGGGCTGCTTCAGCAGAAGGAGCCGGATCGAGGATGCAGCGGCCAGACGACCGGAGGCGAGCAGGCTAGAATCGAGACGCACGGAGTTGCATCGTGCGGGAGAAAGGGGCTAGCCTAGCATCTGATACCATGTTGGATAATGAGCAGCTAACATTACTGAGGGCCAATGGCCAGTACATATACAGATGTGGTAAAGTGCAGAAAAGCCCCTTATACAATGGGGATGTACACAGTGAACTATACACATCTAACAGCTTGTACTTTCAGTTATTATTTTTTCCAAG